GCTCACAGAGTGTGGGGGTCTGGGGGGCACAAGCTCATGGAGAAGAGTGTGGGGGTCTGGGGGGCAAAAGCTTGTGGAGGAGAGTGTGGGGGTCCCAGGGGGCACAGGCTCAGAGAGGTGAGTGTGGAGGTCTGGGGGGGCACGAGCTCATGGGGGTGAGTGTGGGAGTTTGGGGGGGACAACCTCAGAGTGGTGAGTGTGGAGGTCCTGGGGGGCACAAGCTCATGGGGGCGAGTGTGGGGGTTCCAGGGGGTACAAGCTCGTGTGGGTGAGTGTGGGGGTCTGGGAGAAAAAAGGTCGTGGAGGAGAATGTGGCGGTCTGGGGGGCACAAGCTCATGGGGAGGAGTGTGGAGGTTTGGGGGGCCACGAGCTCATGGAGGAGAGTGTGGGTCCGGGGGGCACAAGTCTGTGATGGGCACCCCCATCCCGTGGGCACCGTACAGGGTCTCCGGGGGGTCCGGTGCCCCCCGCGGGGAGGGGCTGCGGCATCGGTGCCGAGCGGAGGCAGAGCCCACCCTGCCACGGCTGCGCCGCGCGGTGACGGTGACGGTGACGCAGCGGCACTTTCACTCTCCTTTGCCACGGAAACCGCCGGGACGGGCCGCTCCTCTCGCTCTGACTCCGCTCCCGAGCCCTGGCCGTGGCCCGTGGCTCCCCCAGGGCTGGTGGCCCAGCGGGGACCGGCGATGCCACCCTGGTCTCCGCCGTGTCACAGCCTGGGCAGCTCCAGTGTCCCCCCCGCGCTGGGGATGTCCTCACCAGCGTGGGGACTGGGGCAGCTGGGTGATGTCCTTGTCTTGAGGGTACCACGGCACCGTGTCCTGCTTCTGGGGGTGTCATGACATTGTGTCTTGGTCCGTGTAGTGTCACCTCCATTTGTCTTGGTCCAAAGGGTGACACGGCGTTGTGTCCTGGTCCTAAGGGCACTGCGGCATTGTGTCCTCACCAGCGTGGGGACTGGGACAGCTGGGTGACATCCTTGTCTTGAGGGTACTACGGCACCGTGTCCTGCTCCTGGGGGTGTCATGGCAGTGTATCCAGGTCCCCATGGTGTCACGTTCTTTTGCCTTGATCCCAAGGGTTCCATGGCTCCACGTCCTGGTCCTCACGGTGTCACCTCCATTTGTCTTGGTCCAAAGGGTGCTGTGGCATTATATCCTGGTCCTGAGGGCACTGTGGTGTTATGTCCTCACCAGCATGGGGACTGGGACAGCTGGGTGACATCCTCATCTTGAGGGTACCATGGCACCGTGTCCTGCTCCTGGGGGTGTCATGACATTGTGTCTTGGTCCGCGTAGTGTCACCTCCATTTGTCTTGGTCCTGAGGGTGACACAGTGTTGTGTCCTGTTCCTGAGGGCAATGTGGTGCAGTTGTGTCCTGGTCCCAAGGGTTTCATGGCTGTTTGTCCAGGTCCTGAAGGTGTAATGGCAGTGTGTCCAGGTCCTCGTGGTGTTATCTCCTTGTGTCTTGGTCCTGAGGGTGCCATGGCTCCACATCCTGATCCTCATGGTCTCACCTCCATTTTTCTTGGTCCTGACAGTGACATGGCATTGTGTCATGGTCCTAAGAGCCTCATGGCATTGTGTCCTGGTCCTGAAGTTGTTCGTTGCAACATGACCTGCTCCTCAGGGTGTCATGGAAGTGATTTCTGGTCCTCAGTGTGTCATGGGGGTGTGTCTTGGTCCTGAGGGTGTCTTGGCCACTTGTCCTGGACCTGAAGCTACTGTGCATTGTGTCTCTTCATGGTGTCACATCCTTGTATCTTGGTCCTGAGGATGCCTTGGATGTGTCTTCTGTTTCCTAAGGGTGTCATGGCTTTGTGTCCTGGTCCAGAGAACGTTATGGCAGCATGTCCTGTTCCTTGGGGTGTCATGGCAGCATGTCCTGGTCTTGAGGGCACCATGGTGGTGTATCCTGGTCCTCAGGGTGACACAGCGAAGTGTCCTGGTCATGACGGTATCACACCCATGTGTCCTGGTGCTGAGGTTGTCACATCATTGTGTCCTGGTCCTGAAGGTGCCCAGCAATATTTCCTGGTCCTCAGTGTGTCACATCCACGTGTCCTGGTCCTGGCTGTTTGACCTAACCATGGAAGGGTCATGGCATCGCATCCTTCTCCAGAAGGTGCTGTAGCAGCATGTACTGCTCCTCAGGATGTCATTGTCACATGTCGTCACCCTGAGGTGGTCATGGCATTGTGTCCCGCTCCTGAGGATCTCATGACACCATGTCCTAGTCCTGAGGGTGTCGTGACGTGTCTTGATTATGAGGGTGCCATGGCCATGTGTCCCAGTCCTGAGGGTGCCATGGCTGTGTGTCCTTGTCCTGAGGGTGTCAATACAGCATGTCCCAGACCTGAGGGTGTCCTTGCAACATTAGGTGCTCCTGGTCCTTGGTGTACCACGGCACCATGTCCTGGGCATGAGGGTTTCATGACAGCATGATCTGGTGCTGGGGGTATTGTGTCTGTGTGTCCTGGTCCTGAAAGTGTCATGGCACTGTGTCCTGGTCCTGAGGGTGCTTTGGCACTTTCTCCTGGTCCTGAGGGTGTCATGACCACTTGTGCTGGTCCTGAGGGTGTCACAGCAGTGTTCCTGGTATTGACGATGTCATGTCCATGTGTCTTCCTCCTGAGGGTGCTTTGGCATTGTGTTCTGGTCCTGAATATGTCATGGCTACATGTCCTTCAGACGGTGCCACTGCAGCATGTCCTGGTCCTGAGGACGTCATGGTAGCACGACCAATGTCCTGAGGGTGTCATGGCCATGTGTCCTTGTCCTGAGGGGGCCACTGCAGTGTGTCATGGTCCTGAGGGTGTCATGGCAGCATGTCTTGGGCCTTGATGGTGGCATGGCCTTCTCTGCTGGTCCTGAGGTATCCATGGCAAAGCGTCATGGTCCTGGAGGTGCCATGGCAATGTGTCCTGGTCCTGAGGGTGCCATGGCTTTATGTCCGGGACCTAAAGGTGTTGATGCCACCATATTCTGGTCCTGAGTATGCCATGGCAATGTGTCCTGCTCCTGGGGATGTCCTGGCAGCATATCCTGTTCCTGAAGATGCCATGGCAGTGTCTCATGGTCCTGTGGGTGTCATGTCTGTGTGTCCCAGTCCTGAAGATGCCACAGCAACATGTCTGTGTCCTTTTGTCCCATGGCAGTGTGTCCTGGTTGTGACAGTGCCATGGCAGCATGTCCTTGTCCCGAGGGTTCCTGATGATGTTACATCTCTAGATCCTGGTTCTCTGGGTGCCATGACATTGTGTGGTGTCCTCATGGGGTCGTGACCGCGTGTCTGTGTCCTGAGGCTTCCGTGACCACATCTCCTGGTCCTGAGAATGCCATTGTATCCCCATCCCACCCCAGGGCCACCCTGCAGGTGGTGGCAGCCCAACGCACCTGAGATACAGGAGGTGGGACTGGGTCTTTTTGGCGTCGTGCGCTTTTGTCCTCAGATTGTCACCACGTCACGTCTCTGGGGGGTATGGGCTGTGGTACCAGGGATACCCTTCGTGGTGTGACCTCTGTGGTGGGGAATCGGGGGGTCAGGGCAGGGGGACGGGGATGGGGGAAAGAGGCTGGATGGGGGTGGCCACCATGAGGTGGGGCAAGAGATCCTGCCCCGGGGACCGGTGGGATGTGGGCCAGGGGCATGGCTGGGGGCAAGAACAGGGCCGTAACCCTCCTTTCCCTCTCCTCGGCAGGTGGAAAGCAGTGACACCCCCAAAGACCTGGCGGCCGTCCCCAAGTGCCCCCCGCCCTGCCCGGAGGCCAGCCCTGCCGAGCCGCTGCCCAACGGGGACGTGGAAGGGGACGGTGGGCAGTGGAAGGGGGCGGAGGAGGCCGGGGCCAGCCCCAAGGGCGGCCGGCCCGAGGAGGACGAGACGGAGAGCCTGCCGGACGGCGAGACGGGCCGGGCGCTGGAGAACGGCCGCTGCACCCCCAAGGAGGGCCTGGACGCCCCGGCCGATGAGGGTGAGCTGGCCCCTTCCGACCCCCAGAAGAAACGCGGGAGGAGGAAACTCCTGGAAGCCACAGAGAAAAGTAAGACCTTAGCGTTGAGGGCTGCCCGCTGTGGGGCTGCGGCTCCGGCACCCGCCACATCCCTCTGGGGACCCCCACACCCCACCACATCCCTTTGGGGACCCCAGCACCCACCTCATCCCTCCAGGGACCCCCAGACCCCACTGCATCCCTCCGGGGACCCCCGGCACCCACCACATCCCTCCAAGGACCCCTGGCACCCACTGCATCCCTTTGGGGACCCCCACACCCCACTGCATACCTCTAGGGACCCCTGGCACCCACTGCATCCTTCTGGGGACCCCCAGACCTCACTGCATCCCTTTGGGGACCCCCAGCACCCCCTGCCCTGCCCACCATGCCATCTGCAGGAGGACACCGGGGCTGGGGAGCACTGGCAGAGGAGGAGGAGGAGGAATAGAAAGAGGAGGAGGAAGGGCTGAGTGGGGTTTGGGGTGGGGGCAGCAGATCAGAGCCAGGGGGGGCTGCCCTCGCGTGCTGGTCCCATGGTGCCACCCATCCCACCGGGGTCCACTCCCCACAGTTGGTCCTTGTCCGGTGTCCCTGTGGCACAGGGGTGTCCCTGCCTGTCCCCAGAGTGTGGCCAGCACCACCAGTGCTTGTGCCACGTGAGGGTGACACGGGCAGGGGTGGGGGCTCTCCATCCCTGGGGACTCATCGTGGTCCTGGGCAGTGTCTCAGGGGTGCCTGGCCGGAGGGGGGGGTGCTGGACCAGGAGGACCCCCTGGCCTTCACCCATGGGGGTGTTGTGCCCGTGAGTGTGGGTGCAGATCTGTGGGTGGCCCCACTGCCACCATCCCTCTGGGCCAGGACGTGCCGGGTGATGGGATGGAGCAGCTCGGACCAGCCCTGAGCCGGGATGGGGCCAAACTGTCACCACAGCAGGGGACAGAGGGGGCACAGAGCTGGGGTGTCACAGCAGGGGCACTGGGGAGCAGGAGTGGGGTGAGAAGGAGCAGAGTCAGGCTCTGCTCACGGGGGCTGCTCCTCCCCGAGCAGCACAGGGACCTGCTGCGGCCACACGGAGCGAGGGATGGAGCTGGGAGAGGCTGGGATGGAGACAGGAGAGGCTGGGATGGAGACAGGAGAGGCTGGAAGGGTGGTGCAGGGCTGGGATGGATGGATGGATGGATGGATGGATGGATGGATGGATGGATGGATGGATGGATGGATGGATGATGCAGAGCTGGGATGGAGCTGGGAGAGGCTGGGATGGAAAAAGGAGAGGCTGGAAGGGTGGTGCAGGGCTGGGATGGATGGATGGATGGATGGATGGATGGATGGATGGATGGATGGATGGATGGATGGATAATGCAGAGCTGGGATGGATGATGCAGGGCTAGGGTGGAGCTGGAAGAGGCTGGGATGGAGAGGGGAGAGGCCAGAAGGATGATGCAGGGCTGGGATGGATGATGCAGGGCTGGGATGATGCAGAGCTGGGTTGGAGCTGGGAGAGGCTGGGATGGATGGATGGATGGATGGATGGATGGATGGATGGATGGATGGATGGATGGATGATGCAGGGCAGGGAGGGAGCTGCAACAGGTTGGAAGGATGATGGAGGGCTGGGATGATGCAGGGCTGGGATTAATGATGCAGGGCTGGGCTGGAGCTGGGAGAGGCTGGGATGGCTGTCTGGCTGCTGCAGGGCTGGCTGGGGACCCGCTGCAGATGCTGCAGTCACGCGGCCGGGCGCAGGCAGCTGATGGTGGGGAGATGCCGTCGCCGGCAGCGCAGCGGTGGGGGGGGGGGCTGGCTGTGCCACGCGTGCCGTGCTCCGGCGTGGGTCACGGCACGGCGCCGTGGTGGCCCAGGGGAGCAGGGCTAGAGGGGCTGAGCCAGCGTCGGTCACCCAGGCGGGGACCAGCACGGAGTGAGGGGGAGACAGCCCCGGGGGGGGGGGGGGGGCCCCCGCCCCCGGGGTCCTTGAAGCACCAGCTCCGCCTGGTGCCCGCAAACGGCATCTTCCCTCCGCCGGTCCCTCGGGAGAATCCCCCGCATCCCCCGCATCTCCCGGGGCCAGCAGCATCAGGCAGCACGGGGGCTGCGGGCACGTATTGCCCAGACCTTCATGAGCCCACCTGGAGGAACCACCACCCCACCACCATCACCACCATCCGCCCCCCGGCCGTTGTCCCCGCAGCAATGAGCAGCAGGCACCCACAGTGATGTCCACCACGGGCTCCATCCCCAGCTGTGGTCCGTGCTCCAGCCACAGGGGTCTGGGGGCTCTCCCAGGCCCCCCACCCTGCTGCCTCCATCACTGCTCCCTCCTGTCACCCCTCTGACCCGGTGTGGGGACGGGGACCTGCTCCTCCAGTGCTGCCCGACCCACCCCGTCACCTCTGTGCCCCCCCCACCCCCC